GGTCGCCTGGGAGAGAGTTACCCAAGACAAGGACCATGGGGGCCTAGGAATTCGAAAGTTAGGAGCGATGAACACAACGCTCCTAACCAAGCTCGGCTGGAAACTGTAGACGAACGAGAGTAGCCTATAGATTGAAATAATGAAAGCCAAATACTTGAATAATAATATGGATCCCTCCTCTTGGCAGCCAAAGACAAATATGTCAAATGCCTGGAAAGGAATTCTCAAGGAAAAACTGACTCTGTTCAAAGGTTCAATGAAACTAGTAAAAAATGGTACGAACACGCTGTTCTAGCTGGACTCTTGGGTAGGCCACCGCCCGCTATGCGAGTCAATATGCCACTCCCAGAACTCTATGTTCATGTAGCAGACTACTAGGAGGAGAACAATGGATGGATTTGGTCAAAAATTGACAACCTGGTTCCCCTAGATATAAGCGACCGGATCGCAGCAATTTATTTGTCTAACGATGATGATATGGAAGACACGAATAGCTGGGGAATAGAAAGCGTAAGAAAATTCTTAGTCAACTCAGCCTACTCACTTATTACAACTAGCCATGACTTGACTGACAAACAAGCTTGGAGCAGTATATAAAAACTAAAGATTCCCAGTCGTATTCAAATGTTCCTCTGGCTCGCCAGACAAGATAGACTGATGACTAACGCAAACAGGAGGAAACGTGGCTTCACTAACTGTAGTAATTGCGACACCTGCATCAATGTGCCTAAATCTACTGAACACATCCTTCGCGACTGCCCCGAAGCTAGTGCAATCTGGGAAGCCATCCAGCTAGGTATGTTATGGAGAACACATAGTAAATCGTTCCTCAACTTGTTTGATACTGGCATTCGAGGATTTAGCAAAGGAAATTAACAACATAACCAGAGTGTGTTATTCGCGGTGGCGACCTGGTGGATATGGAAATAGAGGAACGACAAAATCTTCAACGACAAAAGGACGGAAATTGGTCGTAAAAGCTACTAGATACGAACGCAAGTGGCTAAGATTAATAAAGCCTTCGAAAGAGCATCAAAAACCAACGTGCAGGCCCCAATCAGATCATGGAACCTGACTAGATGAACCAAGCCACCTCCAGGCTGGATCAAAGTGAATATAGATGGCAGCTCAAATCCCATGACTAACAAGGCTAGTTGCGGCGGTATTACCAGCCAGGGAGGAATATGGTGCATGGATGAAAGGCTTTACACATGGCATCGGAATATGTACAGCAGAATCAGTAGAGGCATGGGCACTATTAAAAGGCATCCAACTAGGAAAAGAAGTGGGTAATGAGAAAGTATGTTTCGAAAGTGACTCAAAAAGCATAGTAGAGGCAATCGTCATGGGGACCAACTTTGGTGGCATAGTGGATAATATTCTTAATGCTTGCAGGTAGGAGCTTAGAAGTATAAGATGCTGACACGTTATTTTCGTTCCCAGGGAACAGAACCTGGCTGCAAACTTCCTAGCAAAAGCATCCGTTGGGCATAGAGGCACTACTCTAATCAACCAGCCCCCAAACGGCCTCTTACATATACTTGAGGATGACCAATTTGGTATCCCGATGTGGCGCCAATTAGACACTTCAAATCTGTAATTTCGAATGTCCCTCATCCAGTTTGATCTAAAAAATAATAAATCTTTAAATAAATTTTTTCTTTTAAGAAAATAATATTTTTTTATATCTAAAGAAAATAATTATTAGTAGATGCATGAAATTGTGAATATTTTAAACAATTATTTTGTTTTTTTTTTGACAAATATAAATAATTTTATTTAATGTGAGTATAGTAACTTAGGTTATATATAACTACATAAATGAAATGCATTTTCTTGTAGTTTTTATTTAAAAAAAAAAAACAACAAATTTGTACATTTTTAAAATGAAAAAATTTATAATTTATTTCACATATAAAGAAATACCCCGTAGCATTTTATTTATTTATTTTTGTATGTACGCATTACATTAAACAAATTTTGGTTATTTCTTTCAAAAAAAAAAAAAAAAAAAAAAGGGTTATGTTTAATTCTATCGATTGTTGGAAATTAATATTAATATGATTGGATGGATTCATAAGTATTATTTTAATTGATTGAGAGTGTGATTGGATGGGTTCATAAGTATTATTTTAATTTAGTGAATTGTGCACGTGATCAACCGATTTTTAGATTCGGTTTTTAGGTTCTTGTAAATAAATGAGATTCTATCAAAAGCGTAATCTATCAAAAGCGTAATCTTTAAAATTAATAGCGTAATTTTTAATAATAATAATAATAATAATAATAATAATAATAATAATAATAATAATAATAATAATAATAATAATAATAATAATAAGAAGAAGAATAATAATAATAATAATAATAAGGAGGTGGAAAAAAAAAAAAAAACAAGGCAAAAGGATTAACAAAAAAAAAAAAAAAAAAAAAAAAAAAAAAAAAGGTGGAAGGTGTGCGCAAAGCAAAAGAGTTGAAGAAAAAATGAAAGATGTGCGCAAAGCTGGAACAATAGATAGAATTCGAACCTCTGACCTCCAAGTAAAACACTAAAGAAAAACATATTTCTACCATTCCTTCATTGAATCATTTCAAATTAATTGTAATTTTATTTTATTTTAATGTCTTAACTAACTAAGAAAAAATTAAATATTAGGCCCTCTAAAATTTAAGACCCTGTGTTGTTTCACAGCTTGCACAGCTCAAAATTTGGCAATAGTTATGTTGTGCAACCGTGTGCAACACGCATGGTGCACACGGTTGCAAAACGACGTCGTTTTGACTAAAATTGCGCGTCCCATTTTAAAGAAATAAATTCAGTTACGATTCCCCGTCGTTTTGAACCGTCATAATATGTATATTATGTGTTAAAATAATGAAACTTCTAATGTAAGATAATGTACTTTATCAGTTAGAATAATGTAAACTATACTTTAGAATAATGTACATTATAAGTTATAAAAATGTATATAGCAGTGGATCGCGTGAAAAAAAATTGCGAGAAATGAGGTTGTTTTTAGATCGTGGTCCACACAGCTATGTGGAACACAGTCCATGCAATAATTATTGTGTGGGCAATGGTCCACACTGTGTTGTGTGAACCAAAACAAAATGTACATTTTTAATATACTAAATGTACATTATTTGTATACTGAATGTACATTATATAATATAATGTACACTCAGTACACAAATAATGTACATTCCTTGAATACAATGTATATTTTTAATATATTAAAAGTACATTATTTTTATACTGAATATACATTATTTTACAGTATACAAAATATGGTCTACACAATAATGATTGCTCATCCATTTAACAATAAATTGTCAAATTATATCATGGACCATAGTTCATTATTATAATGTTGTAGATTCATGATAAAATATCATTGACCATAATTTATTTTATAATATTGTAAGTTCATTAAAATGACATGTAGTGACTTCTCCCATGTGGGAAGTCATGAGATCGAGCCTAGGCGTTGTTGACTCTATGTGCTTCATTAGATTGAGAAAATATGTTTGAACAGATACTACGACGTAATAGAGTCACTAGCATTCAAAAAAATATTTTTTATTAAAATGACATCAATTTGCCTACGAATCCCTACTATCATTTACACATATAGTTATCCTTTATTTATTTATTTGCATAAATAAAATCAATGTTACAAAATATGTTATTAAAAATATTTTATTGATATCTTTTAAATTATACTCAATATATATATTGATGAACTTGCAATATTGTTAAAATAAACTTTTTGTATTGTAAAAATAAATCTTTAGTATTCTCTTAATGAACCTATTTTAGGTTCATTTGTACTATATTGTAATTGCATTATTAATGTTAAGAGGAACAATATTATTAAAAAACAAAAAAAAAAAATTAAATTAGATTTATTATTTTTTAGCATGATTCATTTTATAAGGTAGACCATGAGGCCGTCCCCATCAAGACTCAAATCGATGACCTCTTATATAGAAGAGTCACTTCGTGCCACTAAACTACAAAATCATTAACATTTTAGAGTAAGCACTTATAATCACATCTAAGAAAAGATGATTGTACACTTATGACTAATTGATGATAGTGCTTCATCCTTATAAATTTATACTCCCAAATTGTTACTACACAATAGTCAATAGATCTCTCTTCAATAGTAATCCTTTCCAGTATAATTTAATGGACAATGTGACTAAAATGTGTCATTCACTCATTCCCTGATGAATTGCAGAGAACGATACTATAAAAAGAAGAAAGGAATCTGCTCAGTTTAATAGTATGATGTCAATAATTAATAAAGTAATCAATCCTTCATATATTACTATATACACACAACATTCACAGCCAATCAATACACATCTACACAACCCAATCATCTACCTATCTTTTACTCAATCAAGCCTAAATCATCTCAGCCTTCTTATCCTAAACAAAGATTCCTTGTTTTATTTTTATTTGGGAAAAGGTCAAGTAACCCTTTAACTTTAAACAAGATAGAGCAATTAGAATTTAAATTTTTAAAAAGTGCAATTAACTGTTTAACTTATTAAAATGGTCAAATAAATCTAATTTACTGGTAATTTGTTAGTTATCCATAAAATTATGCCATTAACCGCTATCAGTTACCGTTGATCACCGTCTTCTTCTAATCGACGAACTGCCTTCTCCATTCTGGTTGCCTTCTCTGGAGAAGACGACCAACCATACTTGGTTGCCGGAACTTCGACTACCAACCACCGGAGAGTCGTCGGAGTTTGCAAGAACAGTAGTGACTGCTATGACAAGTCCATAACCGGTTAATGTGTTTCGATGCACGAAAATAACATATTGATGGACTTAATTGTACCTTTTAAAAATTCAGAGGCTAATTGATTTTTCGCATAAAGTTTAGAAGCCTTTTTCACCATTTTCCCTTTTTATTTTACATCTATGGTGATAGGGGAAGGGGATAGATTTTGATACTGTCCAACCACTGAACTACAAGATATTTGGCAAAGATTCATAAATATATACAGAAAGAAAGGTGAAAGAAGGAATATCAAAAGTCAGAATATATATGTACAGAAAGCATAGCATTAAGAGTAGAGAATTATTATTTATCAAGAAGTAAAAGCATCATAGCCTTCTTCAAATTCTGAAATTTGCATTCCTTCCTCTTCCAACATCATTTCTCTGTCCCTGCAATCAATGCTGCAGAATGCCTTCTCCCCCCTTGAAGAGCACAAATGTTTTGAAATATCAATTTATGGATGTACTGGATACCATGCAAACATTTATAGAGGAGTTTTTTTTTCTTCCCAAAAGGTTGAATCCCCAACCTAAGCACCCCCTACACCCCGACCCGACAGAGCATCTGAGAGGATGTAAATCAGGGTAACTCAACTGAACCATAGAGACTAAACTTTTGCTTACTGCGCACAAGGAGCCCCCTCACTTTGAGAGGTTACCCCGCACTGCCACTGGTGAGACTCGATCCCTGGAGTTTTTTTTTTTTTAAATATTTATAGAGGAGTTAATACCCAATTTAGTCATCGACTACAGTGATTTTCTCGATTTAGTTCTAAATGACTTTTTATGCTTAATTGGGTCCTGAACTTCAATGAGTTTACCTGATTGAGTCATTTGCATCTTGACTATCAAAGCTTAGAATCAAGGACTAAATCGAGCAAACCCATTATAGTCAAGATTAAATTGGGTAAACCACTATATTTAATGAACTAAATTAGGATTAACAGTCAAACCAAACAATGGATAAGGAGGAATCCCAGGTTTATTCTATTATACCTAACTACATGTGCTAGTTTTCACCCTTCAGGAATTCATAGAGATACTCTTGAATATACATACCAAAGAGCTAGGACAAATAGAATCAAACTCAAATGAAGCCATAATGCAAGCAAGAAAGAAAAACTTCGATTCGAGTTTACCTGTACATGTAAATATCTTTGCCTAGTCCAAGGTTGTTCTTGCAAGTGTGACAGAAGCTAAGAAAATTCTGAGAAGGATAGCTCATCGAGCGGTTGGTAAAAACCAACCCGTTCCCCTTCTTCGGTTCAGAACACCTAGCAACACCAAAGCAACTCTCAACAATGCAATCGTCAAATATATGAGTGGTTCTTGGATTTGGGCCATACGAGATCACGCAAGTATAGTCCTCTGAGAGCTCCATCTCACTAGCAGAGAGGCAGCTATGAACTGAACCCGAGTTCGGGTTTTCCAACCCGGATTCCGGGGATCCAAATGGCGATTTCTTGGCCATAAAAGAACCCCACTGGGAATTCCTGGTCTTGATCCCAAAATCACTAGGGGATGATGGTGATGAACTAGCTGCAGAAACAACAGATGGGATCTGAATCTTCAACTGTGAGCCAAAAACAACCATTCTACTTGTACAGTTTAACTGTTTTGACTCAGATTTCTCATCAATCAGAGCATCAACTAGGCCTAGACCTACACCCTTTGACCCACAATTCACTCTACTCTCTCTTTTGGGGGATTTTGTGTCATTCCAAAATGGGTTTATGAAAGATCCATAGGGTTTAGTATCAAGTATAGAAGTTGGGCTCATCATAACCTCAGCCTCACCAAAATTTTTCCCAGAAAAACTAGTAAACAACTTTGAAGAACTGAAAAATGAAGTGGGCTTTCTATTGTTCCCTGTGGGAGATAGCAAAGAACCATCTATATTGTCTGCCATTTTTGTTTCTCTCAAGCTCCTTCCTTCTCTCTGCACAAAATCCAAAAAAATTTCAATTTGTACACTTAATCAGGAGAGTAAACTCTTGGAATAATAGAAAACATTTCCTACCTTTAGTTCAGCTAGAAACCAGCAATTGAGTCACAAATATCAACTCTGGAACTCAAGATATGGTAAAAATTCAATTTTTACCAGACCCAGAGTGTGAAATCTATCAAAAATTCAACCTTTATCCCCAACCCAGATACAAAATTGGAGCAAAAGTTCAATCTTTGAGAATCACAGGAAAAGGGAAGAAAAGAAAAGCATTCCCTTATTTTCAGCTCTTTCTTTCTCTAATTTTCTTGACAAGAATCACTGGTTTTTACCAAGACATGAACCCGGTGCCTCCATAGCCATCATGAAAAGCAGACATTAATACAAGCAAACAAAAAAGATTCTACCAAAATGTCTTCAATTTCCCCACAACTTTTTTTCATTTTTTGACAGATTTTCAACCCCTCTGCTGTAGCCTTGTTTGCGGTGGGACACATTATTTCAGCTAAAATGGCTTCTTCCCCACATCATAAAGACTCATTGCCCTACACGAAGACAGAGACCCACACATGTCAAAGAAAGTACACCACCCTCCCCCTCCCCCCACCCCCCCCCCCCCCCGCCCAAAAAAAAAAATACTAATATTAAAGTACCCAGAAAGAAAAGGAAAAACATTATTCACAAAGAAAAAAAAAAAAAAAAAAAAAGGAGAAAGGGACTGCAATCACTGTTTTCTGCTCCCACTACTTTCCCTTTCTCAAATCCCTTCTCCTTTCAACTTCCTTTTCCCTTTTACCACCCACTTGAATATGAGTATAGATATGGAAAAAGTGGTAAAGAAAGTGGGTGGTTGAGAGCTAATTTCAATTTAGAAATATTTTAGAGCTCCAAAATACAACACCACAAGTGTATGCAAATATTATGGTAATTTTTTTTTTCTAGAGCGAATTCCTCTTTATTTTCTTTTTGTCTCTCACAATTAATTTTTGGGTTATTTAAATTCGATGGCTTAATTGATGTTTCCCAAATAGTTTACTGGCTTATTTGTACTTATCCCTTATTTTTTTTATCTCGCTACAAATGTTACTTTATACCTTACAAAAATGTTACAATTCTCTTGTGACAAAAGGTGGCCACCTCAAGTGGTCCTGGCAAATTATTATGTGTAAGGTGGACCCGGGTTTAAATATACACAATTTACATATTAAATGTTCACAATTTACCTTTTAAAAATTTACAATTTGTGATGACCCTGTATTGTAGTAAAAAAATTCTAAAACTGAAAAACAATTTTTATTCTAGATGTTCACCATTCTAATACTAAAATTACACAATTTAGGACCAAGGTTCACCTTACAAAGTGGATCCTGGTCCATTGTATAACATCTAAAGCGTCCCACATCCCAACTTGATAGTTTACTTTTGCGCACTATACACAAAAAGCCTCCCTCATTTTGAGAAGTTATTCTCACAATATTGCTGGTGAGACTCGATTTTTGATCTATTGTGATAAATTTTACTTCTACGACCAATTGAGTTGCACATGCAAGTAAAAATGTTACAATTCTCATTTGTAAACGAAACCCTCTAATGTTTGTATGCTTTTGTGCTAGGACTAAATATATTTACTTCAATATACATTACAATGCCTAATAGTATTAGAAGGTTTCATTGGTTAGGACCAGAATTGCAATATTTTGGCAAAGTTTATATTAGTTTGTTACTTTTAAAACTAGAAATGAAAATAACCAATGGTTTATAATTGGAGTAAAAAATAAACTTTTATTTCTTAATTTATAATAAGTTGATTTAAATTTCTCATTAACATAATAGTCGGTATTTTTTTTAAATGAAAGTCATCAAATTTTATTAAAGCAAATGTTCAGTACAACTAGGAATAGAAGAACACCAAATAGAAGGACCAGTTTGCGAATGAGCAACTCTAGCTAACGTATGAGCCAATCTATTCACTGATCTCGGCGCAAACTCAAAAGACACTGCTTCAAAGTGTCGTTGTAATTCCCTACAATCATTAATCACACAATCATTAATCACACAGCCTACATATGAAAAATCAGCTCCGGGTGTATTGAGTAGCTTGCATACTGTCTGGCAATCTGAGAAAATCTTTGCCTTTGTAATACTCGGTATTTATTTGCTTCGGAACTTTATTTTAAATGATTTCACTTGGAGTACTGATTTGTTTTTTAATAATAACAAACTGGAATACTATATTTATATAATTATAAATTTTTATTTTGATCATATAACTTTTTTCCGCCTAATTTGGGTAGTTGTCCACGAACAAATGCTTTTTAGCAGTATTTTAAAGTAGAAGAGTGTAGCGTGAGTTGTCGTGCACTCTTATCTTTTAAGAGAGGTCATGAAAAAAATCAATGGGTGTGTTTGATTGGCAGGTTTGGTATGGTTATGAAAATGATTATTATTGTTTGGTTGACTGGTTTTTAGAACACTACTATGAATTTGGAATACCCATTAATGGAAAAATTCATTCCCTTATTTTATAAGGGTTTCATCCCATTATTCATCCTTAGCCTAATCATTCTCATTCCACCCTACTACCAAACATACAAAATGCTTTCACCAAAACTCATTACCATTACCAAATATTTGATACTCATTCCGATTCCGATTCTCATGTGCGAACCAAACACACCCAATGTGACTTCTACAATTAGAGTCAGGACACCTCATGGTCTGTTAAAAAAAACAAAGTAGAAGCGGATTGAAGAGTTAAGTTAGGTGTGTTTGGTTCGCACATGGGAATCAGAATCGGAATGAGAATCAAATATTTGGGGTGTGTTTGGTTGATAGGTTTAGCTCTAAGGAATGGGTATAAAAGTGATTGGTATTGTTTGGTTGATAGGTTTTAGAACATTACTATGGGTTTCAAATACCCCCTTAATTGAAAAACTCATACCCAAATAAAATAAGGATATCACCCCTTTTCATTTCCTTTGATTAGTGCTTTTAGATTTTTGTTTTTATTTTTTTTGTTCATATTGGTGTTTTGGATGTCTTTATATTAGAATCAATTGTCTTGAATTTGTGTTTTTGTATTTTTTAAATATTTATTCCCATTATTAGATTATACATAACCAAACAGTATTATTGATAATCATTATCATTCCACCATACTACCAAACATGCAAAATACTTTCACTAAAATTCATTACTATTACCAAGTATTTGATACTCATTCCGATTCTGATTCCCATGTGCGAACCAAACACACCCTTGGTAATGATAATATGTTTTAGTGAAAGTATTTTGCATGTTTGGTAGTAGGGTAGAATTGAAATGATAACCAATATTGTTGTTTGGTTATGTATAATTATCCTATAATGAGAATAAATGTTTTAAAAATACAAAAATAAAAAATCAAGACAATTTATTATTTATTATAATATAAAGACATCTAAAGCAGCAATATGAAAAAAAAAAAAAAAAAAACAAAAAAAAAAAACAAACAAACAAAAATCTAAAAGCATTAATCCAAACATAAAAATCAAATTACCAATGAAGAGGGGAAATAATGAATGAAACCTTATTTTATTAAAGAATGGGTTTTCTAATTAAAAGGTAATCAATTTCCATAATAATGTTCTAAAAATATGTCAATCAAATAATAACAATGACTTTGATTCCATTCTTAAAAGCTAGACTATGAACCAAACACATCATTCCTAAGTACTCCGGATGAGGATACGATATATCTGAATGAATAATAATGAGTCTGTACAGGAGTATATATAGTAGTGAATAGTAAACCTATTACAAGACGAATACTAATAATAATAGGTAACGAATACTAATTACTAATAATAATAGGTAACGAATACTAATGATGATAGAGTCCTAATACTCCCCCTCAAGCACAAGGTGGACTAGCAACAACATTGAGCTTGCCACATAGAGTAGAGAAACGCGGACCAGGGAGAGCTTTAGTGAACACATCAGCGAGCTGATCCTTTGTGGAAATGAAGCTAACCTGCAACTCCTTCTTCGCCACTTTGTCACGAACAAAGTGGTAATCAATTTCCACATGCTTCGTACGAGCATGGAACACCGGGTTGGAACAGAGATAAGTCGCACCCAAATTATCACACCAGAGAGTGGGAGGAGCAGTCAATGACACTCCAAGCTCGTGCAACAGAGAAACCAACTAGGTGACCTTCGCAGACACATCAGCCAGAGCCTTGTATTCAGCCTTTGTAGACGAACGAGCAACCGTGCGTTGCTTCCGACAAGACCAGGAAATCAGATTGCCACCAAGAAAAACCGCAAAACCACTAGTAGACTTCCTGTCAGTTGGATCACCAGCCCAGTCCGAATCCGAAAAGGCATGAACCGCAACAGAGGAGGAAGGACGAATAAAAAGACCAAAGTGCAGAGTTCCTTTAACATACCGCAGAACACGCTTGAGCATAGCCCAATGCTCAGTGGTTGGAGAGTGCATATGCTGACAGACCCGATTCACGGCAAAAGAGAGATCCGGACGAGTAACAGTAAGATACTGTAGAGCCCCAGCAAGACTGCGATACTACGTGGGATCCGCATAGGGAACCACAGAATCAGAAGAAGGTCGGGACATAGGAACCGGAGTAGCCAACGGTTTACAGTCCACCATACCTGCACGGCTCAAAATATCTCGCATGTATCGCTGCTGAGAAAGAAACAAACCACCATCCTTGGAGACCGTCTCAATGCCAAGAAAAAAAGACGGAGCACCCATGTCACGAATCTTAAACTCCGAGGCTAAGTCAGTAAGAAGCCGAGTAACACACGAAGCATCAGACCCCATAACAAGGATATCATCAACATAGACAAGCAAATATAAACAAATAGAGGCACGAGTATAGATGAATAAAGAAACATCATTCTTGGAGGGTGAAAAACCAACCGACACCAAGAAAGCATGCAACCTATTGAACCACGCTCGAGGAGCCTGCTTAAGACCATAGAGTGATCTCTGTAACAAACACACATCATCCGGCCGTGACTGGTCTTCATAACCGGGCGGCTGTCTCATGTAAACTGTCTCTGCAAGATTACCATTGAGGAAGGCGTTGTGAACATCCAACTGCCGAATGACCCAACCGCGAGAAATGGCTAAAGAGAGAAGAAGCCGCACGGTGGTGGGTTTGACAACAGGACTGAAAGTCTCAAAAAAGTCTTGCCCAGCGACTTGATTGAAACCCTTTGCGACCAATCGAGCCTTGTGCCGCTCAATCGTGCCATCGGCCTTGCGCTTCGTTCTGAACACCCATTTGCACCCCACAACATTCATGCCAGGTGTACGACTAACCAGACACCAAGTGTGATTCTGGAGCAAGGCATTAAACTCAAGATCCATGGCCTCACGCCACTCCGGATACCGAACTACCTGAGAATAACAAGTCGGTTCAGGAACAGTCATAAGAGCCACATGCTACGTCGGTCCTTGAGAACGGGTTGCCATGACATGAGACCGAGGCTGAACAGGCTTCGCCGTACGGCGGCCTCGCTTGGGCGCAGTAGGAGCACCCGAGACCGCCCCTTCCGGAGCCGTAGCAGTCACGGTGCGAGAATCTGAACCAGCTGCGGCAGCCCCGGAATCCGCGTCCAACTCTGGATGAGGATCAGGTCCAGTGGGACAAACATCGGAGCCAACACCAACCCGAACGGCACCAACACCCCACGGCTCAACCGGGCGAGAGCTAGAGACCTGAGAAGGCATAGAAGAAGCAAACGGATATACGGTCTCATCAAACCGTACATGACGACAAATGAATACCTTGTTAGTAGCAGGATCTAAACAACGATAGCCACGAAACGAAGACGGATAACCAAGAAACACACACGGGGATGACCGATACTGCAACTTGTTACGATTGTACGGGCGCAACAGAGGATAACAGAGACAGCCAAACACACGCAAGAAGGAATAAGAAGGATTAGAATGATGCAAACGATAATGAGGACTGACATTGTCTAGAACTCGAGTAGGCATTTTATTGATGAGATAGATCGCAGTCTCAAAGGCATAATCCCAATATCGCTGTGGAATCGAAGCCTGAGCCAAGAGAGCCAGACCCGTTTCCACAACGTGACGATGCCGACGCTCAACTCTACCATTCTGCTCATGGGTATAGGCACAAGATTGCCTATGATTGATACCCAAAGACACAAAAGTACGGTGCAACCGTTTATACTCTCCCCCTAAATCAGATTGTATAGAGACAATCTTACGACCATATGAACGCTCAACTAGTGACCGAAACTACTCGAAGATAGCATACACATCAGTTTTTAATCGCATAGGATAAAACCATACATAGCGTGTGTAGTCATCAACAAACAAAACAAAATAACAAAAACCATTGACAGAAAGAAAATGCGCTGGGCCCCAAATATCAGTATAAATAAGCTCTAAAACATGCGACGTAGTAGTATTGACACGAGGCAAGGGAAACCGAGATGATTTCCCAAGCATACAAGCACGACACGACACCGAACTATTACTAAAACTAGAATCAATGGAACACGAATTCAAAATCTGCCGCAAGACACGAGGATGAGGGTGACCCAACCGACCATGCCAAACGTCAGAGGAGACACGCGAAGCCACTAACGCAGCGGGACTCGAACGAGAAACAGGCCAAGAATAGAGACCCCCCGAAGCCTGCCCTCTATACAGAACTTCCCTGGTTGAACGATCCTTCACAAAGAAACAATCAGGGTGAAATTCAAAGAATACATTATTATCACGGGCAAACCGTTGCACAGATAATAAAGACGCAGAAAGCCCAGGAACAAAAAGAACATCAGACAACCGAAACAGTGTTTTAGAAGAGGCTACCGAAGACGAACCAGTACCAACAATAGGTAAACACTTACCGTCACCAACACGAAGATGATCCGGACCGTTATAAGAGACCGTCGAGGACATCAAAGACGGATCTGGGGTGGCATGGTTCGACGCACCAGTGTCGGGAAACCATTGCTGAGTGCTAACCGAAGCCGCATCATCCATAGGATACGCAACATGCGCTCTCGGCCCCGGAGCTCCATCGTACCGGCGAAAGCACGAAGCGGCCGAATGGCCCTCGCCGGAGCAGATCTGGCACTGGACAGCCCCGGCACTGCCACGACCACGGCCACGCCCTTTGCCGCGACCACGGCCGCGGTTGCCGCCTCCACGCTGCTGCCCGCCCGAACGGCCTCCACCTCGCTGAGCCGCCATGGCGACCGGAGCAGCAGCAACTTCACCAGCATCATCGGCACATATAAAAGCCTGCGAAACAAGAAAATCGGATAGCTCGGGCAGAGACACCGGAGCACCCCTTGTGAGCGACGCCACCAAAGGACGATATTCGGACCGCAAGCCTCGGAATATATATATATTCTGATCCTCTAGCGTCACCGGACGGCCGGCAAGCGCTAAATCCTCGATAAGCACCTGCACACGGCCAAGATAGTCCGGGATCGAAGCATCACCCTGCCGTAATCCTTGCAACTCGCCCACCAACCGGAGGGCACGAGCCCGTGTAGTCGAACCAAGAACCTATTCGATTGCCAACCACAAATGCTGAGAAGTGGACTTACCGATTGCGAGGTGCATCATCTCGTCGGACAAGGATGAGATTAATAAGGAGAGCACGACCTTATCTTGACGGAGCCATGCACTCCGAGCAGCGGAAGACGAAGCCGATGAAGGCACGGCAGGAACAGCTCCCTCGGCAGGCGGCACGGCAAGCGCGGTGATCGGCGGACATACCGAAGTACCATCGACAAAACCCAACAACCCTTGGCCATCCAAGAACGGAAGAAGCTGAGTATGCCAAAACAAAAAATTGCGGGATGTCAACTTGATCGAGACGAAGTGATGCGCCGAAGAGAAAGACACCCCCGACTGCAGCGGTGCAACAAGCGCGGCCTCGGAAACGGTCCGTTCAGAACTACCAACAGAGCCGTCATCAGATCCGAGGTGCACCATTAGAGAGAGGAGAGAGAAACCTGCTGATACCAGATGAGGATACGATATATCTGAATGAATAATAATGAGTCTGTACATGAGTATATATAGTAGTGAATAGTAAACCTATTACAAGACGAATACTAATAATAATAGGTAACGAATACTAATTACTAATAATAATAGGTAACGAATACTAATGATGATAGAGTCCTAATACTTCGTAATAACTTAAAAAAAATGAGGATTCTAGAGTTGTTGAAATACTTTCTAGTCCTTACTTTTCAACTCTTCACGTGCTATAATTTTTTAATATATAAAATAAGCAATATTATTAAAAAGAGTTAATTCTTTCCGGTCCTTACTTTTCAACTCTTCAAGTGCTATAATTTTTTAACATATGAATTAAGCAATATTATTAAAAAGAGTTAATTTTATGAATGGTTATTGACTATTGATATTTATTAATTTTTATTTATCTCTAACTTTAAAATAGATTATAAATGGTCTATTGACTATCGACTATTGACATTTATCAATTTTTATTATCCTTGAATTTCTATTTGACCATAAATGATCTCTTGACTATTGATCTTATTCCAAGTTTGGTCCTTCAGTTAAATATTAATTTAGTAAACAATAAATTTAAAAGTAATAATCTAAAATTTGGTTATTCACATTCCCACTAATAATGAACTCAATGTATTAAGTTTATGAGCTCAATTTGTTCATCTCAACAAATCAATTTTTATATTATTATCCTTAGATTTAATGTTTACTAAATAGATATTTAACTAAATAACCAAATTTAAAATAAAATCAATAGTCGAAGAGATCATTTAGGGTCAAATTGAAAGTAGATGGTGAAAATTGAGAAATGTCAATAGTCAATCGATCATTTATGGTCCAATTAAAATTTAGAGATAAAAATTGTTATTATAATAATATTATTATAATTAAACCAAGTGGTTTTTTTTTTTTTTTTTTTTTTTGAAAGATAAAGGAAGATATCATTAAAAATCACTTAGATCATGAGTTACAGCAGACGAGATAAATAAAGGACCCGAATCAAACCAGACACACTAGTAAAAGCAGTAGAAGCATAAAGTTACCAAAAGGTGAGCAACCGAATTAGCAGTTCTGCGAACATAACGAAAAACAACGATTTGAAAATTTGAAAACAAAGTTTTGATGTCTTCTAAAAGCAAACCAAACGGAGATAAGCTGGGAGTATGGAGAGAAGTAATCAGAATTTCAGCATCCGTTTCCACAATGACTCCATCCCAATGATTAGTCTTAAGTTAGCATAAAGCTTCACGGACTGCTAAAGCTTCAGCATCTCGGGGTCGCAATGTTCCTGGTAGCGCAACAGATTTGTCAACTACAAACAAACCTTGATGATCGCAGAGAATCCACCCCAATCCAACATGATTCACATTTCGGCGAACTGAGGCATCAATATTCAGCTTCAATAGACCAGAACTTGGCATTATCCACACTGTCTGCCCGGATTGAGTACTGAAGATATGTGAAGTACAGTATGGTTTTACACGTCTCCATTCCTTGAGGTAGGCCAATGACAGCCGCACTACGGTTCTCGGAAGGGTATAGAAACTTTTCTAGATTTTTTGATTTCGTGCCTCCCATATACCCCAACAAATAACAATCAAATGAGTAAGCTCAGCCTGGGAAAGGATAGCAAATCTGCCCTTTAACCAATGCAGTAAATCGTCCCCAACAGAACAACCCCAAGGCATACCATAAGCGCTCCAAACCTCTTTTGCAAAATCACACTCAGCAAAAACATTTAAGATTGTTTCAGCAGTCCTGCCACACAAAGCACACAAACTATCACATGACACACAACGGGTTCTCAACAAATCTTTTGTGGGAAAAATAAATGAACACACATTCCAAAAGAAGCATTTGATTTTTTGTGGAAGCAAATAATTCCGCATAGCAGTCCAACCTTTCTAACCAACAGGATTACACTCACCCATCAAGAACCTGTAAGTACTCGTTACTGAATAAAACCCAATGACCTCTCCACTCCAAAAAATACAGTCCAGGATGCTGGTGAAAGGAAGAGGGCAAATGTTTAATCAAAAGCTTATCCCGGTCAATAAACAAGTCATTTAAGATTTCTTCATCCCAGGAGGTGCAGTCTATAGTCATAAGAGAGAGATGAGTGATATGGCGAAGTTGGTTATATATTTTGGAGTTTATACAAAAGGATTTGTACTGTCTGGTATCCAAGGATCATCCCAAACTCTAATAGTGTTTCCATCTCCTAGCCTCCATCTAAAACCCTCCCTTAAAAAGTTTGCAGCCTC